AGATAGAGGCTTTATGTTTGCTAACAACAACAGAAGCAACCAATATCTGGTTGAGGAAGCCGGTCATGTGCGCACAAAAGAACCTCTTACAAGCTCCGAGTTTGGCATGGCCAACGGTCACTTAACTGGAAGCATAATTTTATTATGCCGCAATCTGTGCATGTCTCACACCATTCTAGGGTTACCTATGATTAAGGATTCTCGACAGAATCCGAAGCGTCAGGAGAATAGAATATTTGTTCCAGTGATCGCATCTTCTTCTTTTGAACTGCTTCTTGGAACTCGCATATTCGTTTTTATCGGTCACTTAACTGCTTCCATTTTTTCCCTGCTTCAACAAATGCTCATACATTTTGCATGCCTGAATGATCTTAATTGAAGTGTAAGTAATCTTGAAATAAGCACTTGCGGTTCGACAGGCTTATAGGGTTCCCACATGATTGTCGAGAGTCACCATAGCAGTCTCACAATTCTCTAACTTTTATGTCGCAAACTGTGTCGTCTTGAAAGCATTTTTTTAGACTGCAAAGTTGTGACACTTCAGGGTTTTTCTAAATCTGGAAAGGGCACTTACGGAAAAGCTACCGAGAAAAGTGTGCTCTGTTACTATTTTATAGTTCATAGAAATGATCCTAGGCAGTTATCCAAATGCCTTTTTAAGCATGGCCGACACATTTAGCTGATGAATATTCCCACCAAGTTGGCGTATCGTGGTGCATCAACAAATGAAGATCCCTGCTTTATGTGTGTCAGTATTAGAAATGTAATTAAGTAGGCTAGTATGACTCTCTCTCTTTCTCTCCGAAAGCTGGAATTTTGCATAAACCCTTTCATGAAGTCCGGTTCATATAACACTCCTCCGAACGGACCTGAGGACTAGCGAGCAGCCAGCGACCGGTGGCTCATTAGTGACCCGAACGCTGTTATGATGCTTGTCGGGAATGCATGGGAAGTAAGTCATAAAACCTGCCAATTTGCTTAAAGTCGACAGTAGAGCCCGGCAGGAGAGAGAGCTTATGAAGTAGAAAACATCCGGTCGCGGATGTCAGCACAGAAAAAATAACTCTGCTTATTGCGACGCTAACGAACAACATGGC